TGGTCGTTATGGACGACGTTTCAATTAAAGGAAAAAAGTTCGTTTTAACCGAAAGTTCACTATAACCGGGTTCATTATAAGCGGACTTTACTGTATATCTTAATATTAATTGAAAAATTCCCCCAATTGTTTCACACAGATGAGGGCCGACTAGCGTTTCAAATCGTTAGGGAAAAGAAAGTAAATTGCTTTATTCAAATCGACTGGACACAAATCACCGTGCAGTGGAAAGCCGCATTTTGCTACGATTTTTAAGCAGTTCAAGTACTTACATTGAATTTAAAACAGGTGTGGGTCAAATTATTGTCCAAATTGTACCTACCAGATTGTACCTACTCTAGTTCGATCAGCTCCGGCCCTGAATAGTTATCGTGATCAGGACTGCGGCTTTACCGTTGTTAAATATTATACAAAGACCATCCATCCTAGCAGTAACCTCGCCAATGTAACCTACATAATAAAATGCGCTGTATTTTCATTAGGCTTGCGGTTTAATGGTGAATAGTAGATAATAATAAATCGAAAAACAGAGCTCGGATTTTTGCTCGCGATCAGCGACTATCACTTTCTCTCGTTGAATTTATCGATAAAACTTCTGATGACAATATTTCTCACTGAAAATTGCTGTTCGCTTTAAGAAAGTTAAGCCGCAATTAGCCGAATTAATTGAAATTTTGCGCGGCAGTGGAAAAATTATACCGCTCCGAATTGTTTAACTGTTTCAGTTAATTAGAATTGCTGCAAAGTGTCGCAAGCTAAATGCGCCTAATTACTCGGTGTTGCAAAAGGTCAAAGTACTACTTAAACTGTTTTGAGCTCGAAAATGTTTGCTAGAAGACACGATATTTACCCTCTTCAGTAGTTTCAAGCTTAGTAGTAGATACTAGAGCTAAACAGGAGTTTGACTTTTAGCTTATATAAGCCAATATTAAATGGTACAATGGTTGATTGCAACAATGAATTTATAATTAATCATCGTTATGCTGGTTATGCAACCATTTCACTAAATCTTCACCAGTCTATCGCCAATTTTGGTCACTTCTGACCCAAAAGTTATGCTTAGATAATCTATTTGACACCAATTTTGATTTGCAACTGAGTCCTAAATGCATTTGATTAAATGTTGCCAACAAGAAAGCCACGGGTGACCCTTGTGATAGGTTTATGTCGACTAACGATAATTTTTCTATTTTATGGACAACAAAAATCTGATATGATATGCAAATTTCGCTATCCAACGGTGCCAAAACGAATTCTGTGGCTCAAATGAGGCTTGGGAAATGTCGAAAAAACAAGTATCATGTTTGAGTCGATTTTAATTTTCGAAAATGAAGTGTTTGCGAATGGTTTTTACCTTTTCAATTTAAGTAGTTGATCGAAGTTGGCCATGGAAAACAGTATAAGGCAGACAGCAGTGTTTCCATAGTGACAAATAATAACCACATCTTTCAATTATTTGACATTCAAGTTGGTTAGAAATTTAATTTAGTTTTATTGTAAAAATGGATTATTCCAATGAAGAAAAGCGCGACGATTGAAACTTCGTGAGATCTGTGTGATTGAAAAGATGTGATAGAAATGCTGGAGCCTCTGATTACTATTTTGTGAGGTATTTTGTTTACACCGCGAGGAAATGAATAAAGTAATAAATGAAGCTGTGTAGTTTTATGTCTTGGCCATTGTAAGCCAAAATCCACAGATTTAATTTCCTTTTGAATGTAAAATATCTTTTTTATTTGCAACACTTAACATTCTTTAACGAGATGTTGTACATATTGCTCTTCTTGGGTTTGTGTGTTTCTTCTTCTTCTTGAATTTCTGTATTTTTTAGTCGTAATTTCCTATTTGCTTTGTATAATCTTTGATGTTCAGTTGATGAAAGCTACTTTGAGTTGATCTATTACTGAATGCTCTTTTTTAGCACGAAATCGTTTTTGGCGTTTAGCATTACTTAATACTTTTCTGAATAGAAGTAAAAAATCAATTAATTTTGGTGACTTGAAGACGTTCTTTCTGTTTAAAATATACGGTAAAACGAGGAAGAGCTATAGAAAAAGGATACACTTGACACACTATATGTATACATACATAGTGTAAGCCATCGCGC